ACCGGCCAGTGATTAACCATTATAAGAACTGTTACAAATTTAACTTGGCTTTATCTCCAATTATTTCAGCACTTTAAAAGTCCCTAGACTGACAGTCACTTACATGGTTTAAAGGATTATGTAACCTGCTGTAAAGGGGTGAGGAGGGTTAGAGCACTACTGTAAATGCACTGTGGACACGCTCCAAAATCAATCCGTTTTGGATGAACAGACACAATTTATCTTGCCAGTGTTAGTGTGTAGTTTATATTGCAAATCTAGTTCAAAACTATATAAATTTCATGTGTATATTTTAAAAGGCATTAATGCGACTTAAAAAATTATTTAGAGACACTGTAAGATGCCTGTAGAGCCTCCTTTTAAGAAAGAGATACAAAGTTGCCAGAAAATAACACATAGAATTCAAAAAGAGGATGAGGTGGACGCACATGTGACCACAATCTTTTCAATATTGTTCCTGCATTTTTTTGTGGGGTGACAGATGAGAATATGAAAAAAGAGAGTGCTATTTGGAAACAGGCTTAGTGTTTTTTTTCCTCTTGACTCAGAGCACCGACAAGAAATGGTAACCCATAAAAAGAAAAGCTAAACACCAAGTGCTATTTCAGAAATAAAGTAAAGGAGAGGAACAGCGTGTGATCTATTATAGTTCAGTGGTTAGGACAAGACTAACACCTTTGGGATTGAGGCTTCTCACTGAGATAACCACTACCTAACAAGGCACATCTAAAGCATACTGTACTGACGAAAGCTCTTTGTCTAACTGACAATCGGCAGATGGTGCAGGTAGCTCGTCACTGTATCCTGTCATGAGGAGTGAAGCTCTGATTCATTACGCTTATGTGGTGGTATTAAGCAGCCATTTATTTCTTCTCGCCGAGGCTTGAAAAGGCAGCGAGCATTAGTGTGAAAACATGAGTACAGATGGTACTGTCTTTCAAACGCCGAGATGCAGTGGGAGGATGTGTGTGTACATTGTGCACTTGTTCCTGCTTGTATGATGTCGCCGTCAGCGTATGTGTGTCTGAGCTGTCAGGTAAAATAATAATATCATTGCTTATAATCAACACAGTATGCGCGCTACATTCTTCATAATTATGTAAATAAGAATCTTCTTATATTGTAATAAAGACCAAATATTGCAAACAGTTTCTTATTAAAGTACGCTGACCCCGACTTCATCCGGGACGGCGCAGCTTAGATCGATGTAATCCCAAGCTGAAAAATGAAATGCACGGCTCGGAGCTGAAACAGAGTGGCTGCTGCTCAGATAACAGCTCTGTGCTGCAGCTCCCATTTTTCACGGCAAATTGAACAAACTGTACCACTGGCTGGCTTACAGTATCTCTTTTAGTCTGTTAAGAAAGTCTAAACGCTTGACATAACTTTGTTGCCACCTACAGGCCGCGAGCTGCAAAAACAAAAGGAACTTTAGGTGACCTTGATTGCTTGCATAGTTAATGAACAACTTGCTGTATGCCATTTTTATCACGCCAGATCTCTGAAAGAATAATTCCAAAAAGATCAGCACCGACTTTATTTTGTAGTTTAAAGACAGAGGCTGAAAGGCTAGTCCCATGTTTCTGTCTTCACATTTGCTTTAACACTTGTCTTCAACAATGACAGGACGGAGAATCAGCCTTATCTCTGAAGAGCCTTTTAATTGAACTTCTGTCTGCATAATGGGGTCTAAATCACACCGAGCACAGACCGGACAGAGGGTTAATGAGTTGTCAGGGAAGCAGAACAAAAATAGACTATCTCGACTCCGGTGGGACTCTACTCTCTCCAGCTGAGGCTTAACTGTACATCCAGGAGACATGCAACACTGAAAGCGTCCACTCCAACACAGAGCCAGGGCCGAGCCTGTGTTTCTGCTGAGCCCAGTGCTGCATTGATTAAGATTCTCTCTAGGAGAGTTCAAGTAGGGGTTGGCCAGACTGCGGTTGTCTTCCGCAGCCTTGGAGGGAAAACAGAGGGAAATGCAGATAGTGTGTTGATAAGCAGTTAAAGCACTTCACCAGGAAGGCTAGCAGGCTCCTCTGAAAACTCTCCCACTGGAAGCAGCTTTTGATGTACTGCAGAGTCGACATGATTGCCCTGTACAATGTCTGAACACGCATCACGTTCCTGGCCAGAGCCTGAAAGACAAACACACAAAGCAGTTAAATACTGCAGTAGCTGCGTTGAAAAAATGGTCATAGTTGATACTGATTTCAGGGTATTTGGATTTAATTCTGTAAGGAGTTCCACCCATACCACACTTAGAGAAAAAAAAAAAAGCATCCAGTCAGCTCGAGGAATAGCGAGAGGAGCTGGTATGCCTTGGCATGAGCCACTGTGGTCAGGGGGCAAAAAATGTCAGTAATCTGACCTGATTTCATCAAACAGGTCTTTCGATATTAAAACAGACTGAAAACCTGCACGTTACAAACGGAGTCCACGGTGTGTGTAAGCCAATTTTGGCGTTAGTGAGCAATGTATTGTCTGACAACAATGAGTCTTTGTGGGAAGTACAGACAGTCAGGCACCCTGTCTCGCACCCTGTCTTGCACACTGTATATCAAACTAATGTAGCAGAACAGTGAACAAGAATCCAGTCAAAGTTGGCCTCAATTAAAGCCCAATT